CATTTTATGCTGATGAAGAAGACGCTGGATCAACTCTTAGTGGTAAAAGAAAAATGCCGAATTTAATTAGCTACAATGTTTTTATCTAGGAAAAGTTCTTATGGTAGTTTCCCTTGTGCTTGGCTCCCTCTCTGACAGCCGTTTCATGCAATCGAGTGGGTTATTCATTATCCTTTCTGCCCACATACAAATGGAGTTTAACCAATATCACCAAAAATACGTATATACATTAACAAAAAGATCCCATTCTGCTTAAATAAAACACTGGCGTTGACAAAGTCCGAGAAATAAGAGAGCAGTGATACACAAACATAAAGTAATCCATCCTGAAGCTTTGCCAGTCTCGAAACCATAATGGTTTAATAACAGCCTGTGAAAAGATGTAACGAAAGTTATATTGTTTGCAGTTGCGCTAAAAAAAATCCCAACATAACTTGTTGATTGTCTGCTTGTAGGTGTAACCGTCCCAGCAGTGGTTTCCATGGCAACGATCTCTGCGTTCTGCCTTGTGGGGATCGTTTGGATGTCACTCAAGAAACCCAGTCAAGACTCGGGTTACTTTCCTCTCAGTGTGTCACCAGAAGACAAAGACTGGTGAAACACAACAACTGGAGCACAGAACAGAAGTTCATAAACTATACTTGACTAAACATTGTATTTAAAGAATAGGAGGCAATGCAATAAAACTTTGGTAAGAGAAATACTGTCTCCTTTCTTTACGACTACAGCTTCCTCCTACACGTACCACCACCATCAAAAGTTTATTTATATGAAATTTTCATATTGTAAGAAAAAGCTGATCAGTTTTACGTAAAGTGGTCATATTATCGAAAAAGAGACACTTGGTTGAAAAACACCACAAAGACTTTTTGATGAAGACATGTAAGAGTAACCTCAGCCAATCCAGTTTCGATCTAGTGATACACGCGTAAAACAACCTCAAAAAATGTTTTTCAATGAAATGAAATCTCTGCCACTTTCACGAACACCCTATTCATATTATCACATTTCTCTAACGAAGACTATGCCGATGGTTTGTTCTAACAAAAGTTTTATACTGCATTGGCTACAAAAATGATCAGAGGAAATAAAACATGGTGGTAACCACCAAAGCCATTTCATTCTAGCAACACGATAATCACACTTTATCCAGTTTAACGTCAAGGCTGATGAATTATTTTAAAAAATACATATAGCAGAAGACGTAGGGAGAATAATTTGATGAAAGAGGTAAAGTTGATTCTGCTCTGACGAGTTTTTACACTCTGTGGTCATTTTCAACGTTTGATTGGAGAAATGAAGAGCAAATTTTAAATAGGGTTGAGAATTCCATCCCCTAATCCCACAAAACAAATCGGTGCTACAAATTTAAAGAACCACTTTTTGGTAACATTTTATCGCCTTAAAACAGTCATCAGTTTCCAATCAAGCACAAGGGCAAATGAGCAGACTTACTATTAAACATACATTGTAAGTGACCCCTTCTCGGATCAAAACCGTACGTGTGAAAGTGATTTAATCAATCTCTGTTTATCAATCGCCACTTTTCTTCTTTTAATTTTCAAGCCTTATTTTCCAATTGGTACTTACCGGGTATTCTTGCGACAAGGGCCCCGTTTATATGGTCTCGGGTAGCCGAGACAGCTCCAGCCTACAGTTTCTCTGACCGAGCTAACTTTTTGCTTACTTCTCTGAAATTTCAACTAACCGTTTATAAAAAAATATGGAGCTCCTTTCGGGGGGCGAGTTGTCTCGCCGTGGAAGCTAAGGTAGCCCTGTTAGGCGGGACAACGTTTTTTCATTTTTACACTTCGACTCACCCGCCTAAGACAAAAGAGCTCAAATCTTGTCCAACTATTCCTTTCGTTCCCAAGATTTCATCAGCAATTCTCCTTACTGTCTGCCATACAATTCCTATGATGTTAGCTCGGAGAATTTGGTATTGGATCAATCAGTAATCCCCTAAATGATATTTTTCTTCATTCTCATCACTTATGTTCTTGATATTAACTTGAGGAGAAATTCTGTCTCGGTCATTCATGGGGGTTAAAGGATTTATAATCTCCCTAGCTGTCACGAGAGAGGCTGGTGTCGAGACCGATGTTGAGAAAACTGCTACAGCTCCTTATTGACTTTTAATAAAGCTGTATCAAGGGGAAGGTTATTTCACGTACCCATGACTATTTGAAGAGGACTTAAGTCAATACCATTAGAATTTGTTCGTGATCAGATGATTCTTTAGCGAGTATGACATGTTTCTTGCTCTACCAAGAATTTTTTATTCGCCTAGTTTAGTTCATTACTTCTCACCTTGCGTAAATAATGGTAACATATTATTTTTTTTACGCTGAATTTGTTTTACAATAGCAAAAAATCCTCCCACGATTCTTTCTACTTTGCAACAGCGTTACGTAAAATTTGGTTGTAATGAAGGATTTGATGAGTATTTCTCATCCACAACTCCTCATAAACGTTAAATAACGTTGTATCTAGGGGAAGGGTTATGTCGGGTACCCAGGATCATTTAAATAGGATTTAAATCAGTATCATTAAATTTTGTGCGTGATCAGATGATTCTTTAGCGAGTATGACAATTATTCCCCCAAACAAAGAATTTGTTACTCGCTTAATTAGTTTCCTTACCTTGCGTAAATAACAGCAAATTGTTATTTTTTTAAATTTAATTTGGCTGTATTAAAGGATTTAATGAGTATTTCTCATCCACGCCGACCTTTTCGGAGCCAGTCTGCGGCGCTCTATTTGCATACCTGATGGAGTCCACACCTTGGTTACATAACACTTTTGATTACACCTGTAATTTCCAAATGTTCTTTGTGTTTGATTCCCACCTGATCTAAACACTTTCTTTGTTATGGCAGGACACAAATGAAGACGTATGTTTACATCGGTTTTTTTGTCGAACATGTGACAATATTGCAAGTTGTAATTTGTGCCATATTGTGTAGAAAATAACCAAACGGATGAGAAAGTTCAGATAATCTTTTGCAGCACTCGAAATGAGCTGTACGCCAAAAAGCTAAATCGGAAACTTCTCTGAGGAGCTTTGAGTAGTGTTGTGGATAAAGCATCGTTTCCAACTGATACAATGTCGATATCAAATTTGGTTTGGCTAATCTTATTAATGTACTATGTAACCTTTGGCGAAATTCTTGGACATGATATGTATGGAGAGCAAGGTAAGCATTTTGTTGATTCGACGAGCAACGGAGGAAATCTGGGAGAAATCTCAATCTTCAAAGTCTTATCGACGTCCTAATATATTTTCATCTGGTTCGGACTTGCAATGCGTATTGAAAAAGCTGAGAAGAAATCAAATACCACGAATAACCTAGCTATTTACTGTTCTGCTTCACAATTCCATTTGACGGTTGTTTTAGATATAAAGGTATTCCAGATAACAAATGGTTGCATTAACTCATTCACCCTCTCTAGTTTGGAAGGACTATGTACCAGAGTGGTGTACGGTGAAAGGCCGATCGTTTTTGTCCAAACACCTCTCGAGTTTGGATGAATGTAGAAAGCTTTGCATTATGATGAATCCTAAATGTAATGCTGTGGAATGGTGGCAACAATTTGGAGGAATCTGCTATGAATGTACAAAGCCTTACTTGAAATGTCCATACCATAATCTAGGAAGCCTGGTTTATCCTCCTCACGTCTTCATTAAGGAAAACAAATCTGGTAGGTCGACTCTATTCTGCTTAGACAAAAGACAACGCAAATTTTAGGGCTAAATTAAATTGAATTTTGCAGCAATTCGGCGTACAGAGTAGCCTTTTATGCAAGGTTTCTCATACCCTACTCACACCAAAGCTTGAATATGCTTTAAAGCTGTTTCGTTTTAAAATTTCTTTCCTCATAGATTCTCCCTAAACTGATGTTTGTCGAATCCTAATTTAGCTCATCAAAATGCAAGATAGTGGTTGCCTGAGCCTTATTTCAGTTTTCATTTCTCTGTTACTAATTTTAATTTAGTTACACCCTGATTAACTAGACATGTTTTTCTGGTGTGAACGGGGTATAAAATGATGTGCAGGCAAGATTTCCGTGTAAGCATACAGTTACATCTGATGAAAGAAAACAAAAGCGAAAAAAATGGCGGAAACAATAAATTACTTTTGGGAAAATAAGGCCGAAGGAGGCGTGATATCGCTCTCTTTTGGAGCTGGGTCAAGAACGCGAAGCAACAAAGAATTCGACTTATCATCATTGACGTGGGGCGAATGGAACCCAGGCCTCAGTGGTTCGGTACTTTCAAGACTCTGCCATTCCTACCCTCTGGGGCTGAATAAAATCATTTTTGGTCGTTGCAGAAGCAAGGAAGTGTCATCAAAAGTGGAAAAAATAATGTGTGTCCGTCTTAAGTTTTAACTCTAACAGCAATCGACCACTGTGACTCAAATCCTTATCTACATGAAGCAGCTTATCAAAGATTACCTGAAGGGTACGAATGCTCCTGCCTGTCTGGTTACATAGGAAAACAAAAACTGCTGAAAAGCTAAGCTCTAGCTAAGATTGAGCCCCAAATAGTAAAAACCTCCTTTTTTATCTAAACTTTCAGATGTCGACGAATTACCCTTGCTTTCCCTGCAAAAATGATGCTGAGTGTCGCAATAGTCCTGTGAGTTACCGGGGCGACCTTATCCGGGATATACAGGAAAAACTCGGGAAACGGTTTAAACCGCTTACATAATAATTTACTTCATTATTTAATTTAATTACTGTCTGTTTGTATTTTACTATCCAGATATTTATGATTGTGCTAAGTTTCCTTGTAAGAATGGTGGTACTTGTAAAAATACTCCTTGGAGTTACCAGTGCACGTGTAAACTTGGTTATACAGGCAAGAACTGCGAGACAGGTAAGCTGGTTTTAAGTGTAAGAAGTAATCTTTTGGCAACATGGACGCGTTTATTTTTCGAAAGACACTGAAGCAGAAAAATCCCAAATTATTATCATTATAATTCGCGTTGTTACTTACTTGTGATTATTATATTGATGAATGCGTTGGATCTCCATGCAAAAATGGTGCTATCTGTCGAAATATTCCCGGAAGTCACAAATGTATTTGTAAAGCAGGATTTAAAGGAAGAGACTGCGGAAAAGTGAACTTCAAGAAAACCATAAACAATTTTTGGCTTCTCTATGGTATAAAACAAATAGATTCTGATTCCGAGGGTCTGTATAGTAACAAATAACAAATAGTATCATTATCATTATATACCAACGGAATTATTATTCCCGCTGTTACTTAATCGTCTTTATTATTTTTCCTTTACTATTATCATTATTATTTGCGTCGTTACTAACTTGTGATTTTTCCTTTAGATATCGATGAATGTGTTGGATCTCCCTGCAAAAACGGTGCTACTTGTCAGAATATTCCCGGAAGTCACAAATGTAACTGTAAACCCGGATTTACAGGCAGAGACTGCGGAAAAGGTGAACTTCACCAAAATGGTCATTTATTGTCCACGAGCTATTTGCTCCATTTTTTGAGAATGATACTTACTTTGCAACCTCAGAAGTAGTAAAGGGTGTTTACTTTCAGCACTGCTCTAGACATTGGGCGAAGGATGTGGTAGGGGACTTGTTCTTCTAAATTATGTCATTGCCTTAAGGACTGATTACTTAAAACATTTGATAATGTCACAGTTAAAAAAAATGCGCTTTTTTGGTTTCTCTATTGTATGAAACAAATAGATTCTGCGTCCGAGGGTCTGTCTAGTAAAGTAACAAATAACAAATACGTCACAATGTGGCTATAACAATAGTGACACATAATAGCTGAACCTTGTTTTTTATCGTTTCCACATTGAGATACCATCCGTGATCTATAACAGACGCACGCTAGCATTGAATCTATTTGTCAACTAAATTTATAGTAAAGTTCGGATATAACGCGCGCTGTCATTAGTTGAAACAGCGTGCTCTATCAGAGTACAGAACCCAGAGAAAGAGAGCTAAAGCCATCACGCCGTCTGCCAAATCGTACTATGCCGACCATTTCCTGGACTTCCTTCTAGCTTTTTTTCATTCATTGAAAGTGAAATATCGGAACAAGCAAGCCAGAAAATTGCAACAGAAGAACCAAACAAAGGTTTATAAGCATGCCAACCGCCGTAATTGATGTTATTGTAACGTGAAATTTGGAATGGACAGAGCGAATTATGAAGGTTTTAACGCTCAGTTTGATTGCACGCTTGCGTACGGTAATAAAATCAAACACAGCTAACATTCGTGTAGTATAGCTAGTTTCGTGTTCAAAAACAAAACACAACGAAATAGAAATGATGAAAAGTATAGCCAAACTGGCATAACTGTTAAATTTAAAACTTAAAATGACGGTGTAAGAACGAATGTTATCGTAGTGAACCGCGGCTAGCTCATCACGGCGATCTCCGGTCATAACATTGAAGCAAGCCTCAGAAATTACATCGGCCGCCCTTCGAGTGAACAACTAAGAGCTTGCTCTGATATCCTTACAGATGCGTTGAGTGGAAGGTCACATCAGTCACAGCAGCCGAGTTTTACAGTGCTGTCATCCCGAGCAATCTCTATGTTCCTGTGAATTCGGCTGTCGTTCATTCATAAAACACACGCCTAGAGCAGTTTGTTTTCTAATTGTCATTTAAAAAAAACTCACGTGTTTTTTGTTCTTCAATTCGGCCGGATTTCTCTGGACATCTCTCTTTCAGATTCTGTATTAGAGACTTAAAAACTTTAGGCAATAGTGTTAAAATCGACCTGCCAAACTACTTCAGTTAAACTATTGCAGATTGTAAACTTTGATGGTTTGACATTTTTGACAGCTTTAGTCTTGTTCAACCAATCAGATTATTTGAACCATTCTAACAACGATTCAGATTGACTTTTTGTAGCGTGCTTTAGGAGAGTATAAGCATGCTGAGGACGGTGTTGTTCTCTCTGAAAATAAGGTTTTTTTTTTTAAATTTAAAAGTACTAGGTGGGTAATTTAACGGATTCTTTCTTATAAAACAAATAGAGAAGCCTCGACTGTGCACTGTTCTGTTGTAAAGTACTTAGGAAGTGGGGAGAAACACGAGACATAGTCAAATGTTTCTTCCC